GCGCCAGCGGGCTCTGTCCCCCCGGGGGGGAGAGCTGCGGCACGTCGTGCGGCTGAGGCGCCAGGCAGCAGGGGCCCGCCCCGCCACCCCCTCCGGATTTGAAGATGGCATGCCCTCCTCCCAGTACCCCTGGGCCATCGTGTGGGGCACCACCGTGTCGGATGAGGATGGAGGGGACACCAACTCAGCCAACCCAGGCTTCCCACCACTGGGATACACCTTTGTCTCGCCACACGGGATGGCAACGGCACAGCCCAACTCCCACTCGCTTCTGCACAACGCGGGGCTCAACCTACGCGAGACCCCGGCCACCCTGCGGCCCTTCTTGTTTGGGCCACGGGGGGAAGGTAAATCTGCCCTTTGCTTCTTTCACCGCCCCCATCCCCACAGGAGCAGCTCCTTCTGCAAAATTCACGAGGGCCCCAGCAGGAACCTCCCCTTGCACTGCTGCTCTTCAGGGACCAGTGGGGGTGGCCATCACACCCCCCCTCTCCTCCTCTGTCTTGCAGGTGTGGACCCCCAGCTATATGTCACCATCACCATCTCCATCATCATAGTCCTGGTCGCCACCGGGATCATATTCAAGTTCTGGTGAGTGGCATTTGGGACAATGTAGGCTGTTACCATGCCAGTATCTGCAGATGGGTGGGCAGGAGGACTGTGGGCTTGGAACTCGTTTGTCCCAAGGATGCAGATCTGGTGGTGGAAGCCCACAGGAGGTTTGGCACGTGGCCATGTTGGGCTCTCAGTGCTGGGTGTAGTAGGGTCCCATGGACACCTGTCATTGAGGGATGGGTCATGTCTGAGGGGGCACTCTTCACCTCACCCCTTGTCTCTCTCCAAAGCTGGGACCGTAATCAGAAACGCCGGCGTCACTCGGGGCAGCAGAGCGGTGGGAGGCAGCAGGAGAGCCAGCAGCCCCTCACGGACCTCTCCCCCACCACCGTCAGCATCCTGGGGCCCTACAGTGACTCCCTGGCTCCCACTCCTGAGGCAGAGGAGTCCAGGCAGGGCCAGGAGGGTGTGGAGAAACTGGGGGGCCACGGGAAGATCACGGCCTTCCAGCTCAACCGGTGAGTGGCCGGTGAGCTGGGGCAGGAGGGGGTGGCAGAGGACAGGGGGACAGGTGGGCTGAGGCAGGGCAAAGGCACCTGTTGATTAGCAGGGGCGGTGGGGCAGCATAAGTGCCCGTCGCTAATTAATTTCCGATTCCCTTTTCCCCCCAGAATCCCACTGGTGAACCTGTGATGCTCATGGGAGAAGCAGAGCGGGCTCCCCCCACCCTCCTGTCACAGCTGGCGAGCGCAGACTCCTGCCGCCTCTGCTACCCCAGGAAAAAAAACACTTCCTTGTGCCACGGCCCGCCACCACCATTATTAACTAACTCCACCAGGATATGCCTGGGCAAATGGACAAGCTGGACCTCCTTAGCCTCCCGCTGGGGGAAGGTTGGGGACCTCCCCTGTTCGCACAGGACAGGGTGATGAGAAAGCGGGGTGGTGAGAGGGAAGGTAGCTGCTGGTGGTGTGAAATCTTGGCCTCCCCAGCCGCTCTCCTAGCACACACATAGACACACACACACTTGGATCTCTGTGACTCTCACCAGTGCATGCCTGACATTGGGGGTAGGTGAGGTGGAAAGGCGTACCCCTGTCCCTGTGGGCTCTAACCCCTCTGTGTGTCCCTTCCCATGTCGTGTGCTTTGAAGTGAACCTCTGGAGTTCACTGGCTGCAGGATTGCCCACCAGGGCTCGGTCTCCCCTGCACTGGGACTCAGGTCGTGGCAGGTTCTTCTGTTCCTAAGGCCTTGGCCCTCCCAAGGGTCCCAAGTGTGGGTGAAGCTTGGGCAGAAGAGGCTCACACAGCACCTGGCCCCCCTCAGTAACCCATTTCCTTGAAGAAAACGTCACCTCCCCTCTAGATGGAAGATATTCACATCTTTCTATTTTGTTTCTGCCTAACACTCCTGTTTTCTCTCTTCAGCTTATATCTTGCTTCATCTCTCCATCCCCAATTTTTTTCTCTCAGTTCCTCCCCCTGCTACTTCTCTTGCCAGTTAAAGTTGGGAAAGGTTCCTTTGGCTTTCCAAATGTTTTGATCTCTTGGAAACCTCCTTGCTGTCCGCCTCCACCCACTCAGTCTCCTTCAGCAAGGTTTTTCTGAAGAACATCGGTCTATGGTGATGTTCTTCAGAAAATCTGAGGTGAAGCCCTCTGCTCGTCATGTTATTTAGCAAGTGTCCTTGGGATACTGCCAAAGCAGCTAAAGCATGGCATGCAGATATAGCTGGGCACGGGGAATTTGAGTTTTTCTCGCTTGAGATATGGAATTGCTTTCAGACTCTCATGCCACAGGCAACAAGCAGCAGACATGACTCTGGGTGCCTGGGATGACAAAGAGACGTTTAGAGTTGACCTCTGGAACATTTGGAGGGTTGCCATGTACTGCTGGTAGGTCTCCTGGAATGCAAGGTGACTGGAGACCTACGAGGCAATGCTCACCAAGAGCATGAGAGAGTGGATATCTGGGGTACCAGCCTTCATAAGTGTATTGCCACAGCTAGTTGGGGACAAAAACCAATGGTACAGGTATCAGTGCAAACCATTTGCCTGAGCAGGTACTTTGGGGCTGTGGTGGTCGGTAGGCCTGGCAGCCGCACTGTTAGTTACTTGTGCAAGTAAGATCAGTGTGTCTCAACCTCTTCCTATGTGTGGATCCATGGGTGTCACTTTGAGGAAGTGTGAAATGGCAAATTTCAGCTTAATGACAGCAGTTGCTCTCCCTTGGCTTTTGTGGACAACTTCAAAGTAGTTCAGAGACCCCACACTGACAGCCACTGAGCTGAAATGATGCAGATTTAGGTAAGGTTGCCCCTATACTGTACAAACACCTTCAGCTTCTGGACTGACGTGGCCAGAGACAGGAAACTCACCCCCAATTTGAAGGCCCTAATGCACTATACAAGTTCTCTGACGAAAGTCATACTGGAGAAAAGGAAATGGCCCTTTCATCCTTTATCTCTGCAGTAAAAGCCTATTCTTTATATGACACAGCACAGGGAGTTTTGTAAGAGGCCTGGTTCTGCCCATTTACCCAACAGAACTATTAGGGATCTTGGGCCCCATCTGACTCACTGTGAAGGACATTTAAATGAGAGTGTAAATTGCAATAAGCTTCACAAAAAAACAGTAAAGATTTGGAGAAAATGACAAGTCAAATAAAATTACTGGCTTATTAAAAGCACAGAATGGCTGAAAGATGTAAGTGGAAAAGGATCCTGGAGGTCTCTAGTCTAAGTGCAGGTTGAGGCTCCGCTTGTAGCAGGGGATATTATTGCTTTACCATAGATTGATCCATTACCGAGCCTTTTCCTTATTCAGGTTCCATTCAAGGCTTTGGTGGACAGTCAAGCTGCGGATGGACAGAGAAGGGGGCAGATGGCTGCCCCGCTCACCACTGCCCCCGCCAGCTGAGGGCAGCCTGGGGCTGTTCCCCCTCTCACTGGCACATCAGTGCTGGAGAAGGCCATCTGCACAGTCTGCAAGAGGTTGCACTGCTTATTGCTGGCAGTTTACAATATGATGCCTTGAACAAGTTTAAGTAATCTTCCCAACCAGATTAATTACATTGCTCTTTGATCAATAGCACTTGTTGAAACAAGGCCAGAGTTTAGACTCCACCCTGTGTGGAGAGAGGGTCTGTAAGAAAGTGGCAGGGCATTTCCAGAGGTGTAGTGAAAACATTTTCCAACACTTGATGCGGGGAAGCCCTGCACTCTGCTGGCCAGGCTTTTGTAAACTCTACAGGCAAATCAGATTTTGGTGTTTTGGGATTTTTTTCCCCCTTTAATGTGTTTCTTTGTTAAAAGTATCTCCAGGGAATGAAGATTTTCATGGATGCTGTGGTAAGGGGGAAGCTGGGGAACGCAGTAGAGAAAACTCTTACAATGACACAAGTGTGGATATGCTGAACATCTTTTCCAAGACCAATTTTTCTAGCCAAATATGTTTCTATGACAGTCATTCACTCTCTCACACAAAACAGGTTAGGTATGGGAAACAACTTTATTGTCCTGCCCAAACTTTCATTGCTACATTTTGTCCCTGGAACAAAACGTTCAAAGCATGTGTGGACACACGAGCTTCTTCCAGTCAATAAATAATCTCACTGGATCTGTTTTCTCCATGGCTGGAGCATTATAAGCCACCTTCCCCTACACAGACTGGAGACAGAGTATGCCTGCAGCCTCTTCCCTGGCCCAGGCTAATATTCTGCAAGATGCGCACATGGACGAGTCAACAGCACCAAGTACCAAGCCAGGGCAGAGGCCAACACCTTCTCAGTCACAGCCCATCAGGTTTCACTGTCTTCTAGGTGACTGGAGGAGAAAGATCTGGATTAATTTTTTCTAGTGGAAATTTTACAGAGAGAAAGGTGTGCAGGGAAACTGACTGAAAATGTTCGTAGCCTTGGGCTGAGCCTGCCCAACATTTCTGTGCAATTAAAAGAGAACATCCAGGTAGGCTGGGTGAGTTGAAGGAACCGTGTCTCTGCTGAGCTCCTGGAGGGTCGTGGCTTTGTTATCACAAGGGTGGTTTCTCTATGAGCACAGTGGGAAGAAGGGAATGTCTGGGCGAGAATCTCTCTCCTCTGCCCTGTATTGTTTTGGAGCAGGAATTGGAGTCTCCCCGTGTTTACCCAGCAGAGTGGCATGACCACAAGGCTAAATCCTGCTTGGGCTTTCCCATCTGGTTGGTTGCGACTGGTAAGCCGGGGAGCCGACCTCCGGTGTGTGCTTCCACACTGCTTCTCTGGTCCAATTTCCAGGGACTCACATCCAGCCGAGCATCCCACAGCTTCAGAGAGGGCTATCTACCTCTTCCTCAACGGCACCCAAGTGCCCTTGCAAATCTGGTACTTTCATTCCCCATTCCCTTTCCTGATAAGGAAAAATGCTTGGAAAGGAGTGGTTTGTTCATTCCCCACAAGTTCTCAAACATGATCACCTTCAGACTGTTCTGAATTAAACTGTGGTTTTGTTTTTACACTCCAACAAACCACGTCTATGGCACAGCCTTAGAGCCGAGTCCTGCAGCACAAAAGCCCTGGGCCAAACTCCAGCTCCCCGACTGCACCCCCGCTGATGTCTCACTGTAGTCCTGGCCCTACCTTGGCAAGACCATAGAGAGGGGCCCCCTTCCTTCACCGACTGCCGGCTCTCCACTCCTTTTTTCCTGTTGTTTTCCCTTTCCCACCGTTTTCCCGCTTCCCACTCCTGCCCCTCCCAGGGTCTCCCTCCAGGTTATCTCTCCCCTCCTGCTGTTTCACTTTCCCCACTGCTCTCTTGTTCTCCCTTTGCCATTCAGTCTTGTTCTACTGCGGCTCCCATCCTCACTTCCGTCCTCCCTCCTGCTTCCCCGCTCAGTCTCGCTCTTCCCCCTCCCCTGCCTTTGTGCGCTGTGATATATATTTTTGTAGGATTTCTCTTCTCCTTGTGGTGAAATATTCAATTCTTGTGGGATGTTAGTTTCAACATTTTTAAATAAACCTTTGCAAAATACTGAAAGCAGAGCTCTTGCTGCTGTGGAAGAGGCCGTAATGGAGAGAAGTCAGGGTGGGACAAAAAGGACTTCACCTTGGGGAAGATATCTGATATATGGCAAGATATCTTGCCAGATATCTGGCACCCCACAGCTTCCTCTGGGGGAGGGGTAGACGGGGGGATCTGACCCCATGTCCATCTCACCTTGGTCTCCTAACTGGCCAAAGCTGTCCTTTGACCCTCCTCACACATTTCCATGGGAAGTGCCGCCTGATGGAGGTGGCTGCTGGGGCCTTGCACACCCACTTCTCCTCCTGGAGCAGCTGTGCTGCCCCCCAGCCACGCTTTGGGGCTGCTTGTCACGTGCTGGTTCGTGCTGGGAGCCGGGGTGGCCAGGAGAGGTGAGAGAAGCTGAGGGGAAGGGAGGGAGATGGAGCGATGCAGGCGCAGAAGCCTCCCTCACTCTGTTCCCCGCGGCTGCCTCCGCAATTTCTATTTACAGCCCTGCTGCCTCCCCTCCTGGCCACAGTGCCGCTGCTGTTGCTGGTTTCCAGGGCTGCTCTGTAATTAAGCATCCTTGTCTCCTGCAACTCCCCCACTTTGCAAGGCCCAGCGGCGATCAGTGCTGGGGTGGGCATGGTGGAGTGCTGGAGACCAGCACCAGGAACAGTGGCCACTCTGAAGGGCCAGTGGTAGGAGGATCGCT